ACAGATATTAAAAACATAATTTTGTTGCTCAAGGCAGACAATGCTTTTGTTTGTTTAGTTTAGCCCATGGCATACTTCTGACTCCAGTTTCTTGCAGTAGCTTCGTACTTGGCTCGGTCGGTTTTGTACATGTGTGCAATCTCTGGTACCAAAGGGTCATCTGGATTTGGATCTGTTAACAGCGAACATATCGAGAGCAAGACCTACCAAAATTGCATAACCATTTCATGGAAGTTAGACGACGAACATAAACATTACATTCAAGAAAGCATTTTCACATGTCGAGCGCAAGATCTAGCACTTGCATATTCATTCCTTTAGAGCACGCTAACAATCTTGCTATATTTTTTGGAACATAAACAAAATATTCCTGAATCAATATCTGTGAGTAAGACCAAGCAAGTGCCATGGAAATTAAATTTAGATCAGCTAAAAATGTAAGAAGATCTTCCTGTATTATTGGAAACCTGAAGAACCGATGTTTGTGAAAAATGAGACTCACCTTGGAGATGGTGAGAGCAGGGCTCCATTGTTCTTTCAAAATGTCGAGGCAAATGCTTCCGTTGCTGTTGATATTAGGGTGAAACACCTTTGTCCTAAATGCAACCTACAATTATAAACAACACCAAAAGAAGATGTCGACTTTAAGGAAGCGAAAAAAGAAATTCATTCGATTTTGGGAGCAAATACTAAAGATAAGAACCGTAAAATACCACACAAAAGAAACAAGTTCTAGTTCCATAAACTTTACACTTACTAATGGTTCCTTAATAACAACCCTTACTAAACTTTCAGGAACCCTTAGTAAACCTAAAGTTTTATCGTATTTTCAGAATTCTTGAATGTGGTATTTTTGAGGATTGGCTACTAATAAATACCTTTGGTGGTTTGAAAGGATAATCGGGAGGGAAGTGAATGGTAACGAGAAACACACCGCCTGAATACGGACTCTCTGTAGGACCCATAATCGTAGCTTGCCAATGAAACATGTCTTCAGCAACTGGACCTATAATCCACTCAATTTGTTCATAAAAAACCATATGAGTTTAGTCTCTGCCTCTTGGCTAAGAAACTGAGATTCTTTATAAATAATCTCAGTTTAACAAGCCAAATCAAAGTAACAACACCACAAAACATAGCAGGCTAATTCTAAGCAATAACATAAGAAGAAGAATTTGCGATTTCAATTGAACAGCTTACATTTCTCATACAAGCTTAGTCTCTCCCTCAACTAAT